GGGAGAGAGGGAGAGCGAGAGAGAGAGGGAGAGAGGGAGAGAGGGAGAGAGAGAGAGAGCGACGAAGCGGCGGGACGTGGGGCGTGGAGGAGGGCGGACTAAAACAGGCGAATGGGCGCGAGGGAGGGAGGGAGGAAGATGGGAAAGGTACAAAAAAAGGAGCAGACACAGGGGGGGGTGGGGAACGGAGGGGGTGTGGCGGGCTTTTGGTGGCGGTCGCCCAGAGGCCAGGCGACACTTCCCGCGGCGGCTGAAAGAGGGCGGCAGGTGGGGGGGAGGAGGGGTCGCCTCTTTCTCTCTCCAACTCTCCATGACCGGCATTCGGACCGGGACCGGGCTCAAGCGCCTTCTCGCTGCTGACCACCACGGCGACGCACGGCAAAAACAGAGCGAGGGCTCCAACTTGCTGCAGGTCTTTGGCGCCGAATAGCGTACTTGTCGCGTGATTACATGTGCCAATGTAATGGGTTGGCACATCGCCCTTGCGATCTCGTCTGCCCGCCCCCCCCTGAGTCACCGCCACAACGAAAGCACATCCCAGATGCGACGCCACACATGTTCTGGGGAAGTGTTCGTGAGCCAAAAGGACAGAGGGAGAGAGAGAGAGAGAGAGAGAGAGAGCAGAGAAAGAGGGAAAGACAGAAAAAGATAGAGAAAGATGAGTATCCTTTCTCTCGCGCACATACCCGCCCCCCCCTCCCCACCTTCACACACACACACACACACACACCACATGCAGAAAGGGAAGTGATCTGTCTATAATTGAAAAAAGGAGGGTATCAGCCGAATGCGCAGACTGCACGCTCACTCGAATGCGCTGCCATCGCTCACCGACTCCAGCCAGGCGTCGAGATCCGACAGGCAGTAGTACCAGATATTGGCCACGGTGAGCAATTCCTCATTGAAGAGGAAGGGATTGGTGAAGGAGGCTGCCCGGCCGGCAAGGCTCGAGGCCATGGCAATACGCTCACGGAAGCTGAGATCCGGGCGAGTTTGATCTGCCAAGGGGGAGGGGGGGGGGGCGGGAGGAGGAAGAGGGCAACAACAATAGGGTGAGATTGAAATGTGCAAATGAGAGGCGAGACCAAAAGAGGCATGCAAGAGGGGAGGCCTGGGGAGGCGCGCAGAGAGGGAGAAAAAAAAAGCGACTGCGTCAATATGCATAACCCACACGTACCCCCATAGCGGACGAGGTACATGGCATAGAGGAGGTTGGCCTCCGGGAGGGGCCCCTTGCCGCCATCCTCGATCGAGTCGCCGATCAATGCCAGGCGGACATGCTCAGCCGCGCGGCCGATGTCCAGCGGGACAATATCGCCGGCCATGTAGGCGTTCGACAACATGATGTTGGCCGGGGGGTAGTTGAATTCGTCAACAAGCCGACCCAGCAAGTCCAGGTACTCCTGGTGGTCGCGGGCCACCGTGCGCTCCAGGGTCCCACGCATGGTCATCGCCAGGAGGAACATGGCATCCGGGTGCCCGGCCTCGGCGGCATGATGCAGAAAGTGATTGGACCTAGGTCGAAATGGAAAAGGTCAGGCCAAGAGAGGGGCCGGGGGGAGGGGGGGGGGGGGGGGAAGACCGTGGAGAGCGCAAGAGCTAGAAGCAGGGCCAGTCCACACACGCACTGGTAGATATTCCGGTCCAAGTCGGCGATGCCGCGCGACATCAGGAACCCCAGCTCATAGCACGCCTGCACGTGTCCCAGCGAGGCGGCCGTCTCCAAGTGCCGGAGGATGACCATCAGGTTGTCCTCGTCCAGGCCCTGGTAGGACATGAGAAAGCGCGTCTCGTTGTACTCCTGCTCGGCTTGGCGCAGGACATCCGGCGCGATGAACCGGTGGGCATTGCGCATGGCCCGGGCCACACGCGGAGGCGGCGGCCCCACTGGCCGGACTTCCTGCTCCGGCGCCCGGCGCAGAAAGATATTCAGCTCCTCCTCATTCCTGGCCAGGTACCGGTGCAGGGCCGACGTGCTGGGCGCAAGCTTGCTCGGGTGCAAAGGGGCCTTCGGGGGGGACGGCCGGAACAGGCGCCCCACCAGGCCGTCCTTGGCTGCCGGCGCCGGATCTGCCTGGTGGGTGTAATCCAACTTCGGATCCGGCAACTCGGAGATGGCCTTCATGAAATCCTTCGGAGGAGCAGGGGTGCTGGGGGTGGGTGTCGTGGGCGTCTTGCCGCCAGACTGGCTGGCAAACATTCGCCCGGGCATCGGACCGACAGCCGCTGCCACCGCGACCTGGGTCGGCAGACGCCAAGCGGCGGCCGCGCTCCGAGAGGCACCAAGGAGGCCGAGCATCACGCACGGGGCAGACTTACCGAGGGAAAGGGGGAAACAGAAAGCAAGGGATCAAGGGGGAGGGGAGGAGGGGGGGGGGGGGGGGGCAAAGCCGAAGGGAAGAGAGGGTGGGAGATGATGCGGCATGTGCTTGATCGACGGTCGCCGAGGTCAGCCTGGTAGCCCTTGTCGTCGGCACCAAACACGCCCCCCCCCTCTGTCGAAGCACGACCATGGGCTGTGGTGTGCCAGAGACGGGATGACTCGGCGCAGGCCTTCGGATTGATCAGGCGCTATTGTGCTCCCCCATGTGATTTGTGCACGTCTCATGTGCTTAACCGAGCTGGGCCCGAGCCTCGCCGCGGGTGCTGCTCGGCCTTGGAAGCTAAATTTCTCGGTCAGTTGTGGGCTAGCCGCCACAGGGTGTGGAGGCGGCCGACGATGCTGATGGCCGGCCCGCTGGACGGCTAACTGTCCCGCGGGCCCCGTGTCCGGGGGCCGGCCTAAGGCGGGACAACGTTGCGGGGACACACAGCTAGAGGTTTTTAATTATTCTACCATCCGAGGTTCGATTGGCGTGGGACCCACTGAGTAGTATACACGCCCCGGAGAACATCACACACAGGGATGCAGGCTGCTCTTGGCTTCAGTCAGGAGTGGCAGAACTTTTATTTTGCGGGAAGGCGGACGTTGCCATGTTTATTCGCGCCTCAGGTCGGTATCGTCGGATAGATTTCACGGAAGAGTCGGCCTGAGCTCGCGCGCACGCGCGCGCGCTCCTGCCACCCTCCCAGTGTGTCATGCCCACACAGGGTGCGAATGTCATCGGCTCTTTCCAAAAAAAAGAAAAAAGAGGAGCCCAGACATCCTAGTGTGTTGGGTGTGTGTTTTCCCCGAGAGCCCGGTCGCCGGGCAGGTACGCAAGCTCCACCGAGGGGGGCACAACCTCATCGGGGATGCTTTCAGAGCCCCTCCAGCCCCGGGCCCAGCCGCGGAGGGCTGCATCGCCAGTCCCCTGGCCGGCCTGGACCTCGGCAATGCAATCCTGGTCGTAGCAGCGTTGGGAAACCCGACCAGCCGTGAAATCCGCCAGGTAGTAGACGGCATTCGACTGGTGACACCGCCCCCGCTGCAGGCAGGGCGGCATTGGGGTGATATTGATTCGGAAGAGCCCGACTTCGAGGGAGGGGGGCGGAAGGCGAAAGGCCGGTCGGGCGGCCAAACCCCGAGAGAGAGAGAGAGAGAGAGAGAGAGAGAGATGGTCAGTCATCTGATTTCAGCGGCACCTGGCCGACTGACCGGCGGCCCCCCTCGGGGCTGGCGGGAGGGCATGCAAGAGGACATACTTCGTGAGGGGTACACCTGGATGGACCGCAGGCGGAAACCCGCATCGCCGGCGCTGCCGGTGGCCCGAGCATGCCGAGCACAGAGGCTCTCGATGAAATGGTGGAAGCCCAATTCGCGCAGCTGTTCCACAAACGCCTCCGGAGCCGCGGTCTCCCCGCCCTGCCCAGTGCCATGCGGCGGCCGGTTACCCGGCAGACACATGGAGTTGATCCGAAAGAAGTCCCGGAATTCCCGGCGCTGAGGATCCAAGTAGACCGTGAACGTGCGCACCAGAGCCTCCTGCCGGGACAGGGAAGCCCCATCGGCATGCTCGTCCCCGGCAAACTCCACATCCAGGAGGACATTCGCCGACAGGGCGGCCATTGCTAGAGCGCCAACCCACGGTGTGAAGGGGTCAGAAGCAGCCGGCGAAATGGCCATGAGGATGTGCCACTAGCAGGAGGTGCGGCAGCGCGAGCAGGGGAACATCTCGACGTCGCCACCATCGCCACCACCACCATCCCCCTGCCCCCCCCCCCCCTCTCCCGCTTCCTGTGGTAGCGCGCACACTCGGGCGTCGGGATCACCGGGCGCGTGTTGAGCGACCCCGAGGGCAGGGTCAATGGCCAGTGATCGGCGGCCGCATGCTCGAGGCACAGCTGCCCACAGTCCCGAAGGGAGGCCTCGCCCGGGGCTTTCAGGATGTCCACCTTCCGGCCGTCTGGCAAGGGGACCACCGTGCGCCATTGACAGCGAGGACAGGTCGGCTGGGCCTGGCCCAGGCTCGGGGCACATGCCCGGGCCTCCTGCGCCAATGCCAGGCCCGATCGGAAGGCCATGCCGCCCTCCGGCGTGGGGACCGAAACCAGCGACACCAGCGACCGGCGAAAGAGATGCCAATCTGGCCGGGCCCCGGCCGGAGCCTCGGCCGACAGCAACACCGCCGGCTTTTGGAGCTTCGAGGATAGGTACGTCCGGAAGATGCCATTCCGCCGGTATACCGCCATGTCTATCAGGAAAGTGTGCCCGGTCATGTCGCACCCCAGCCCGGGGAGGGGATCGCGCTCGCGCACTGTCAGGTCCCGCGCCAGCGGGGCCCACAAAAGGGCGTCCCGCAAGTCCGCCGAAAAGGGGATTCCCCGGCCGGCCGAGGCGCCGCCCACTCGGGCAATTTGCCGCCGGAGTACTTCGTAGGCATGCTGGCCTCCGGGGTCCGGAGTGGTGGATGGGAGCCCGCACTCGGTGGCCATGTCGGCGGCCATGTCGGCGGCCATTCCTCGGCCGGCCGGCGGCTCGCCATCGGTCGGCTGGCTGACATCCTGAAGGCCCTCCACCGCGTGGTACACATCCAGGGCGTCCTTCAAGCCGGCCAGCAGCCATCGAACAAACCCCCCACAGCCTTGGGCCAGTGAGCAGTCCCGCCACGCCGTCCCGGGAACATCCAGCAGCAGATGGCAAGAGAACTTGTCATTTTGCTCCCGGGCCACTTGGCAGCCGGGGCACAGATCGACCTGCGGATCGGGAGGCCGATCCAGGGACGACGCACAGTCGGGGCATGTGCGCACCCGCGACTCCAAGTGCACGAACATCGACTCGTGGGCCACCGGTCCATACAGGCGGTTCAACATCCAGACAATGTACTTTCCCACGGAGGAGAGCGGTCAGAAAGGGGGCCCCGTGATTTGCCCAGGCCGAGAGCGAGGCAGACGCACTGCTTTCAGACGTCGGACGGCGGCAGGGCCATCGATATGGGGGTTCTTGGACTGGCTAAACTCGATGTCGAAGTACAGTCGACAAAAGCCATCTATGTCGGGACAGGGGAAAGGCCGGTGAGAAAAGGCCGGTGAGAGGCCGGTCGCATAGCCCGTGCGGGTGATGGGAGGGGACAGACAAGTGCCATGGGGGGGGGGGGGGGGCAGAAGGACTGGCGCGAAGCGCCAACATGTCTCGACGCACCGGATGGAATCCATTCATAAAAATGCCGTGACAAGTCAGCCCGAGCCCTGGGCGTAAGCAAGGAGCAACATGAGGAAGGCCGCGCGGGTCAGTCTGGTGCCTCATCCACGGTGCCGACGTGCCGTAGGCCCTGCCTCGAATGCACGTACAGCAGGCCACCCAGCCAGAAGGCCGAGGCACAGGCCACATAATACACGCGTTTGGTGGCCGAGCGCCGAGAGGGGCTGTCATCCATGCGGCCGCGTTTGCCTCGCGAGGGGGAAGCATCCGCGCCGGCGGGGAAGCCTGGCTCCTCGGCCATGAGCAACAGCAGAGGGCTTCGACAGGGAGCCCCAGCTGGGTGATCTTCTACCCGGACGCCAGCCGCGTGCGGTCGGCCGCCGGCAGGGTCATCGGGGGTACGTACGGGCCGCGAGCCGACCGGCTGCCGGAGGATGGTGTGTCGGGTGCCCGCCTCGTGGTGGTGGTATGAGCAATGGTCCTCGTAGAAAGCCACGGCCTCTTGCAAACGGAAGCTCTGTAGCATGAACCAGCTACGCCTGAGGAGGGGCCCCCTCCCACCAGGACGAGGAGTGGGTGTGAGACAAGAACAGGGGGGGGGGGGGGGGGCGGAAAAGGCAGACGGACTATCCAGACGGCCGAAGGGTGAAAGGCCCTCCGAGGGAACCGCGGGGAGGAGAGCGGAGGGGAAGCCAGCACGTACTGAGACCGTTCCACTGACGAAAGAAGCCGCGCATGGTGCGCTTTGCGAATAGGATCGCCTATTTGTAGCGGATCACCCGTGCCCCCGGGTCCAGGGTTACCGGGCACCGTGCTTGGGTGTGTGCCATAGAAGGATCCTTCGCTCAGGGCGGTGGCCTTCCGGTTGCCAGGAGTATCTCCACTGGTCATGCCTCTCCGTCAAAAGGCTCGATGCCCATCCAAGCGGAGAGGGCCGGAGCGGTACCTTGTCGGGCACTGCGAGCAGGGAGGGCACAAGGAGAAAGAAAGAGAGGGGGGATGGAGAGAGGGAGAGAGAGGGGGGGGGGGGATGGAGAGAGGGGGAGAGAGGCAGGAGGGGACAGTGCGAGCAATGGGCGCGCATGCACGTCTGTTGCCGAAAGACGCAAGGGACAGGGCGGCCGGCGGTGAAACAGACAGGGATGATGCATGCCAGATTCTTGCTTCGGGATCAGGCACCTCTCCACAACAAGAAGCCCCCGCCCGGGGACACGAAAGACAGGCAGCGGGACAAGCCGAGGGAGGACCGAGCCGCGATCTGGCCCCAATCAGAGAGAGAGAGAGAGAGAGAGAGAGAGAGAGAGAGAGAGAGAGAGAGAGAGACAGAGACAGAGACAGAGACCCAGCCGTGCTGTCGCAGATGCCGCTCTCGATCAGTGCGGCGCCCCGCACACGCCGGAAGTAACCCCTTCTCACACAAAGCAGGGAGAGACAGGAGGAGACCGCACACCGCGTCCAAGTGGCTCTTGACAGCCACGGCTCGGCCCATCCCCCCCCGCCGCCAGCCGCGCCGCCCCCGGCTCCTGTGCCGGCAGAAACCAGATCGTTTGCGGTGGTAGATCGTGGTGTTTTCGAAACATGCTGCGCCCTCCCCCCCCCCCCCGCGCGTGCCCCAGCTCCAGGCACCTCTCCACTGGCGGCAACTCGCGGAGCAATACGGCGACTGCCAACGGATGGTATATTGCTCTGGCGCAGGCACATTCTGTGTGCGAACACGCGTGCACACTTTTGCGTGTGCGCGCGTTTCGCGGCCGCCCCAACTCGGCCCCGACCCAAGGCCATCCCTCAAAACTCGGGGAATGGTGACCTTGAAAAGGGGAGACAAACAGGCGAACAAAAAAAGACAGGGCGAGGACGGGATGGGAGACAGGAGAGACCAGGGGAGCGGGGGAGACACGGGGGCAAAAGGACAAGATGGCCAGTGACCAACTGCTAGGCAACCTCAGCGCCATCCCCCTCTAATGCCGGCGGATCAAGGGTGGCTGCCTGCTGGGCCTTCAGCTCGCTGATTTGCTTCCGGAGCCTGAAAACAGGGAGCGCGTGAGTCAGCGAAGAAAGACGGAGAGGGCCGGTGCAGAAGAGACAGCACACGGGGAAAGAGGGGAGGAGGGAGAGAGAGAGAGAGAGAGAGAGAGGAGGGGAGGGAGGGAGGGAGGGAGGGAGGGAGGGAGGGGGAAAGAAAGAGGCTCACGCACTCTTGCAGGCGCGCGCCCAGCTGCGAGTAACGACTATCCACGCCGGGAGAGAAGTCCTGGTGTGCACGAAGGTCCGAACGGATGACGGTCGGTTGGCCGACCGAGGCCAGGGCCAGTGGCCGGATGCCTGCCAGCCGGGCGATTGTCCCCCCGGCATGCCGTGACCATGACGGGCTGTAGAAGCCCATCAGGATGGATCCGATGTCCCGGGAGACGGGGAAAACCGGCAGCGGGCCGGGGTGGATCTTCCCCGAGTAGAAGCGATTGGTGAAGCGTCGCTGGCTGGAGGGGGCCCGATAGTAGGTCCAGAAGCTGGGAGTCTGCACAGCCTCCAGCACCCGAAGCTCGTTGTCCACCACCGGCAGGGCGGGCTCCGATGAATGGATGCTGACCGACCGGGCCGATGGGCTGGCGTGTGAAGAGGCAAAGTGAAGCCCAGCCGCCGAGAAAGATCCCACCGAGCCGGAACTCAGCGAGCCGATGCCAACCCCGCCCGAGGGGAGACCCTGCAGACTGGGAGTGGCGTTGGCGCGGGACCGGGAGAACTCGTTGTTGAGAATGAAATTGCCTGTGTGGTGGCACAACGCAATGGGGATCAGAGATGTCAGTGGCCTGGACATGTGGGGCGGCGAGCGTGCCAAATGGTGGCTGTGCCCGGAGAAGGTTGAGGAGGAAAGAGCGGGGGAGAAGGAAAGCAGACAAAATCGAAGAGGAAGCGAGAGAGAGAGAGAGAGAGAGAGAAAGAGAAAGAGTGGGGGAGAGGGAGGGAGGAGCCAAAGGGAAAGGCAGACGAAGCATACGCACCGAACTGACATGAGTGCATGGCATCGAAGAGCGACAGAACAGCCAGCTCATTGTACTCGAAGGAGCGTGGCAGCTCAGACATCACGCGCAGCAGGCACTCTACGAAGAGGACCAGGATCGGCGAGGGGGGCACCGCGCCGAGGGTCTCATGCACGTCGGTGGCTCCCCCGCTGGCGGCCGGCGCGGCGGCCGGCACAGACCCGGCGCCGACGGCGTAGATGTCCGTCTGCCCGGCGGCCGGCAGCTGGCCGCAGCGGTCCGAGAACCGGAACCCGAAGGAACACCAATCCTCATCGATCAAGTCTCGCAGGCCGCCCAGGGTCCGGTAGTGCGGATCCACAATGACCTTCACCAGGGACACCAACAATGAAGCCAGATCCGACCCATCATCGGCGTCTTGCACCAGGAGGAAGCGCTGGCCGGGGGCGGCCCCGCCGGTCGCAGGCAGGGCAGACCCGCTGGAAGGGATGCGCGTATCCAACAAGGCACCCAGGCTGCCGGTCAGGATGAAGTCCGACAGCCGGCGCACCGAAGCCAGGACATTCTGAACCTGCGTCAACCAGGGCAGGATGTCCGTATGGAAGGCGGCCATTCCCTTGTCAGGGCCATTGAGAGCTGGCAGCATGCAACCCGGCAGGGGTGGGGGGGGGGGGGGGGGGATTAGTTCGACTGGCAAGCCATTTGAACCAATGGCGAATGAAAGGGACCATGCATGGACATGCACCACCCACGCATGCGCCCGCGCGTGTCGAAGAACGTACCACCGAGCATCCGCGCAAAGACCGGCCGCAGCCCCTGCGAGGTTTCCAGGCCGGCGAAGAAAATGTGAAAGTTGCGCTCCGGGCCGCCATGTGTCGCGGCATTGGCGTAGAAACCGCCGGCATTGTTGGGTGACCGGGGGTCCACGATCACCGAAAGGGCGTCCTCAGTTCCAAGAGCACGGCCCAGTTCGCGGAAAAACACGTCGATGGTAAGGCACCGAGCATTGCGCAAAAACATGCCCGAGCGATAGACAGCGATGCCGGTGGTGGGCCCGGCGGTGGTGGTGGTGGTGGCGGCGGCGGCGGTGGCGGCGGCGGCAGCGGCAGCGGGGTGTCCGCCGCCGCCGGGCGTGGGCATCGGCCGATCCGGCCGGAAGTACGCCAAAATCGGCAATCGCCCGCCGGTACAGAGGGAAGCGATGGTGCGCAGGTCGCACTTCAACCCGCCCGGGGTGATGAAGGACCGGGGGTAGGATTTGCACACGGAGAAGTCGTAGTTCTGCGAGGTGATCTCCAGCGACCGGGCTGACACGCCCCAACGCCGGAGCAATGCCGCACACCATGCCTCCCCGGACAGGATAGAGGGCGAGGTCTCGGCGGACAGGGGGATAATCGGACGTCCAAGCCCGGACCCAAAGCCACACCAGTCGGCCAACGAGGACAATGGCCGCCCGGCGGAGGTGGCCAACGAGGAGGAGGAAGACGAGGAGGGGGAGGAGGGGGCCCCGCCGGCCAACAGCGAGGCGGTCGAACTGGAAGGCGTGGCGAAGGGATTGAAGCTCTGGTCCAGAGGGGCCATGCTGGGGCCGGAGGTCAAGGGCTCAACATTCGAGAGCTCGGCAATGTCGGTCGGCAGGAGGATCGACTCGATCCGGAAGTCAAAAGCAGGCAGGAGCCGGGGAACAGCTGTAGACCCGGGAGCCGCGGCGTGAGTAGGAGGGAGGGGGGAGGGGGGCATGAAGGACAGTGGACTTTGTGTTTTTGACGCGAGGGGGCGATGAGGAAGAAGCCAGCGGCGCACGGGGAGCTGGACCCCGGCCCACATGCGGCGAGGAGAAAGGAAGGGGGGGGGGGGGGGGGGAGGGGGCGCACCGATCGCACTCATGGTTGAGAGGGTCCGCACGATGAGGGCCATGTCGCCGGGGAGCAGCGGCACCACAGCCAACGTGTGGAATGTCTTAAAGTAGACAAAGAGCTTCTCCACGGCGGGGACTTGTGTTCCCGGGGCCGGGGCCGGGGGATCGGCCGAGCGCTTGGACGCCGGGGTGCGGGGCAGGCGCGCCACATGCAGCGAACTCACAAGTTTGTAGGAGTACTGCGACCGGGACAGACGACATCGAGGTCAGAAGAGGGGTGCTCGCTCGGGACCCGGTCGAAAGCATGGGAAAGGAGCGGGCGAGAGAAGGACAAAGATGATGTGACAGAGGGGGGCAGACAGAAAGAAGAGGGGCAACCGCACCACTTCCACATCGGTGTCTGACCGATAGACCCAGAAGGTGTGCGGGTGAAAGAGGAGAGTTGAGTCACGCTGCGGCGGCCGGCCGAAGGCATGCGTGAGGGAGCAGCGAATCTGCGACTGGGGGATGAGCTCCTGCAGCTCCATGGTGGGCTACGGCGGCGGGAGTCGGCGCGTCCCGGGGTGGGGGCGCGAGCGGACACCAGGGGCAGCGAGGCAAGGGGAGGAACAAACGGAGGAGGATGGCGTCTCCCGGCGGATGGGGTGGATGGCAAATGGGGAGGGGAGGAGAAACAAAAGAGAGGAGGCGCGGGCAAGAGGAAGGGGTGCCAGCGAGCGGCGTGGCCTGGCTGTGCGGCCGGGGCTGCCAAAAAGGCGCCGGGAGGAAAAGCAAGCCTCGGCCAAAGACACCTCGCCGCGCCACTCGGGAGACCTTCCCGCAACCTCCTCGCACAAGCACACAAGCACACAAGCACACGCACGGGGAGGGGGGACCAAAATACGGAGACGCAGAGACAGACACAGCGGGGGCCTAACCGCTGCGACCGCGCTCGGGTGCATTTGAGAGCCCGGCCAGGCCAGCTGTCGGGGGAATTCAGTCGGTCGGCCTGGCGCACGGCCCGAAGACCAGTCCCGGATCCGGGCTGGTTTGTTGTTCATATCCCTCCCCCCGGACCGGTGGGGTTGGGTAGGGCATCCCCGAGGGGGGATGACCCCAGCCTTTCCCGCCGCCCCCCCCCCGCCTTTTTTACCGGCAAGAGGAGCACACTGGCCGAGTGGGTCGCCCAGTGTCGTGGCTGCCGTACTGCCTGCCATGCCTCCCTCAGCGTGAAGATCCCCCCCCC